AAAAAAAAAGAACTTCAAAGTTATGACATACCACACAGGCACATACATTTCAAAACTTACAGGAGAGGAGAGTCTTTGTTTTAGCCCAAAACGTTCCCCACTCACATATAAGTCTACAATACCAGTAGCTGGCTGCATAACACTTTACTACGCAACATGTAAATAGTAAATGTAGTAAAAATATTTTACTATACTGTGCAAAATTAGACATTCTACACCAAAGTAAAAACTACACGTCAGTACCTGAATCTGTATTTCGTCAGAGAGCTCCGGTACATTGCCCTCCAAATGCCCAGAAGCAGGACTGACAGTTTTCACCACAACTTTCAAGCCCGTTCTTCCCTTTGTCCTCCCATATACATTCATAGCAAAATTGTTTTCTGCTGGGAGCTGCAAAGATGCCTGCCAGAAAACAGAAAACATTAAAAATAAGAACCGAGAGGTAAATGCACATTTATTGCATCATGAACTCTTTTCACAGCTGTCTGAGAAAGAATTTTTGGAGTCAAGCCAGTTTCCCTGAAATTAATTGAAAATCAACAATGAAACTTATACCTGAAAGTAAAAAAAATCTGTTCTAAACAATTCTTCTTCAAGGTACTAAGGAAATCTATGCAAACAATATCCATAAACATTCCCCTGTAATCCAGGGTTAATTAACATACGATGCTAAATAAAGCTTCCAGCACTTTCGTTTGTTACAATTCATCTTCATAAAGATGGACCAATAAGCTCTAAAGCAAATACAATCATCTTTCTCCAATGTTTTTCCACCCTGTGAAAAGTGTTTTTTTCCTCAGGTTTCAGGCACAGAAAGCTACAGTATATAAACCATATTTTCTCTTGACAGCTATGCTCTTTGGCTAGAATGACATCATCAAAATTTCCATACTAAAAAAGACATTTCTCATCCGGCTTCCATATGACAACCATTGGCTCCTATGTCACTTTAAATTTTACTGTAAAGAACAAGCTTACTTCCTTTAAAGAACAAAACACACAGACAAAAATGAATCATCATTGTGAAAGTCATCCTTTTTGCCGCTCTCAAAAGGTTTTGATAAACTCCTTCTTGGAAAATGCTGTTCCTGACCATATTTTACTATCATTCTACTTTGGAATACCCTGGACTGAGATGGAAGCCCAACACTGTTAGGAAAACATCAGTTGTCAGTATAAAAAGATCACACCCAGAGAGAACACTGGTAATATTGTCAACTTTAAGAACTTAAAGAGTTTACACAAAAACTGTGATGCTAAATGAGAAGCTGTGTATAGGTTTTTTTTCTAGGTTCTGGGTTGTACTGAAGGGACAAAATAAACCCATTTTTACAGCAGCTGATGCAAGTCTTTGTCATGGATTTCATGTGCTTCTAAAATGTGTACAAACATGAACCTGGTTCCCCTGCGTTAGTGAGGCAAAATCTAATCTTGCAATGATTTGAACGGGCATCAAAGAAAATGATCTGATTAGATCATGTTCATATACCACACACAGTGGTGCCCACCTATCATTTAAATGTAGTTAAAGAAGACCTGGCTTCATGTCCAGAAAAGTGTGTCACATTGATTGGTCATCCACCACAACGCAGACATGCTTTTAAATGATGAACAAAAACAAAAAGCAGGCAAATGACCTGATTCTGGAAAAATTACAGGTCATTTAAATGCAAAAAAAAAAGAGCAGGCTGAAAGGTAACAGCTGTGGTTTTTTCTTTCTTTCAGTTAACATAACTTTGAGTGCTCCCTTTTGAATCCTGCAAGCATTTATTAATTATTGCCCAGGAGGAAAACCTTCTTACCTTCAGCTTTCATGCAATCAATTACTAACGTGTTCAATGACATTTCTACCTGAAAAACCAGGATGTTTCCTCAATACAAATTAAAGCTTGATTGAACACTTTTGACAGAGGAATTTAGGGGGATCTCAAAATCATGGTTGATCCAAGTTTACTTAATCCTTAGAAGGATGAAAGATGTTAGAGGGAAGCATTCAGTATGCAAACTAACTACCTACGTACCTCAGAATGCCGAGTCTGAATATCCAGAATGTCCCTCTTTGTGACAGACCAGTGGAATGTCAAGCCAGGAAGGGCATTCCCAAATGAAAATGGAGTCTGGCTACTGGTTATTCCCATTACATACACGGGCATCTATAAATAAGCAATGTTAAAAAAACATTTTATCCAAAGGAGACAAAATTAGCAAGCTAACACCTCAGATTACAGCATCCCTATGACACAGCAAGTTTTGCATACCTGCTCAAATTAGAGCAATTTAAATAAATAAAACAGGAATTTTTAAAACAATACATTTTTCTATTGTTCAATAGATGTTTTGAAGTCACAATTATTACTTGTTAACAATGAATAAGAGGAAAACGGACCGACTGAAAATGAAATTGGACTTTTGCATATGTTCCTGACAAATATTTACCTGGGTACCAGTCTTCATTCTTGTGATCGGTGCACGGATTCTAACTGCCTTCAACTGCAAAACCTCCACGTGTACTTGATCCTGTTGGTAAAACACGAGCTTCAGACAGCGCACATAGAAAAAGCAACATTTCAAGCAAAATGTGTTTTTTAAAATGTGATACAATCGGAAAATTCAAATTAAAAAAATTGTGGACAACCGTAGATATCTGAGGCTTTGTGTGCAAATAGTTAATTACCTGAGACACAATAACAAGCTTCCCAGTTTCTGCATCTACAGCTTGCACCACTCCAGTCACGGTCACATTTCCAACAGTAATCCCCCTGGTGAGACCATTGCTATTTACTGAAGCAATCTTCTCATTCCCGATGGAAAAAATTATATGGGACTGAGGCTGAGGTCCTCCTTCAGATGTAATCTGAAAATTAAAGAAATTCACCCCTTCAAACTGAAGCAGATAAATGTAAAACAAATCGAAATGAAAAATACAGCGCCTGAAAATCAAAACCATCTTCACTGATTTGCGACTAATCTGCCTTTTCTCTTTAGTATGAAAGTCCTGTAACATCACAAAGGTTAAGTTCTTTCCAGGAAAAGTGCTCTTCGGCACATCTGTAAAATCAGCCAAGCTTGAGTCTCAGAACAGGAGAAAGAACATGAAATACTAAAACAGCCTGAGACAACTGATTCATTGAACTTTGAAGGCTTCACAGATAAGTGCCTATAACCCCTGTGAAGATGGACTGAAGAATCGCATTTCAGCGATGCACTCTTTTAAAAACATTTGCCTCTGAAGGAAATGTTCCTGTGCAACATGCAAAGCTATTAGAAATGGATGAATGACTATGACAAAAGATTCAGTTCATAAGTAAAATACAAGCTCCAGCACTAGAAATTCACAGCCTAGCAGGAGGCTACTTGCCACCTTTAAATACCACAAGTATTTAAGAACAGCTTACCTGCATCATTCCACCAATAATCAGGGTAACTTTCCTTGGTATCAGTCTGAAAGGTGGAAATACCTAAAACCCAGAAGAGCACGAGATGTTTTGGGATTAAAAATCCACAACAAACGCAAAGCCATATACACTATATTTAGTAATATCCCAACAGATTAACCTCATTCACTTACTGACCTCTTTTTCATGACCCTCTGCGTACTTACGTGATTCATTAGAAGCAATAAACTTACTTCGATTTGCTGTGGTGCAGAACTGATTCGTTTTCCACTTTTGTCCAACACTACAGCAGCCAGACTCGTCTGTCCTATTGTTAAGCCCTGGACTAGAAAGGTTGCCGTGTCGTTTTCAGAAGATTCAGAAAGGGGCCTAGGAAAAAAAGATGTACCCACTGAAACCTCTTTTTACTAAAAACTGACCTGCGACTATGAACATTATCTATTTGCTTTATAATCAGAATATTTGTATATCTACATTTCTTTTTACAATTACGTTGGCAGTATAGTTATAATATATCAAGTAACAGCACAAAGCAACAGATATAACATGTATATACGAAGAGAATATTCAAGTGAGAGATCTTGCAATTTTCGAAAATACTTACAACAAAGAAACTATCGGAGATGCAGCTTTTAGTTTTAAATCCATGAAATGAAAATATTTAGCCAAGAAGGGTTTCTTGTTATCATCCAAGACTCGAACATAAGCTTTCACCGACTTTCCAATCTCTACCTGCAGTGAGACAAATCCACATGAACCTCAATCAAACACGCCAAGCTCAGAGCCCTGTGCCATATAAAATAACCATGAAGGAAATCAATACAGAAGATTTAAAATACAGTTTATGGTAGTTTGCAAATGGAAACCCAATAATGGTAAGAGCCAGTGGGCTATTGGGTTTTCTAAATCACTAAAACAAATATTGAAAAAAGAAGCCGTTTCAGTCTGACACATGGGGAGAACAGCGACAGTTATATTGTGGACATTCACCAAGATATTTAAAGGATCAGTGGCTTTTCCCAAAGTCTTGACATGTTTCATGTGTTTTTAAATGGCAAAAGCTATGAATCTAAGCCGACCAGTCATATCTATTGGCTGTAAAACAGGACTGCTCTGTTGTTCCGATGCTCAATGTGACTGGGCAATATTTTTTATTTCTGGGATCCCATTAAGAGAGTGGAACTGCGTATGAACAAGCAGCATGGGTAGGCAACAATTTATTGCATAACCAGACATCAATTTTATACCCTCCAGTCCAGGTGGAGAGGATGTGACACGAATAACTCAGTGTTCCTTTTATTGGTACCTAGCAATGCAGCATTTCATGGGCCTATAGTCTTATTAGCCAGTGTGATCAGTCTGTTTCTGTCTGCTCCTACCAGCAAATTGGAACATTACAATTGGAAAGATATGGAACAGCACCTTCGTGGAACAGCAATAACATGGTCAGTGGATAGTTTTATGCAAAATGCCCCGGTATACACTGTTTCTGCAGATTACCTTTGCAAGTTGCACTTGCATATTTTTTTCGTTCATTATACAATTCTTGTAAATATCCTGAGGGCACTGCGTGTAATTTTAATCACATCTGGTACTGAACCAGAAGATCAAGAAGATCAACAGAGCAAGAAGCATATGGCAAAGAACGTGCAATCAAAATGAATCTTTTGATTCTCTCTTAGAACGTAGTGACAGTAAGCGATGGTCACAGACCTTGTCAACCACTCGGACGTACACTTCAAAGATATCCGAGATGTGGATGGAGGCTTTAGCAGGAGCTGGGAAAGCCAAGCACAGATCATGAACCATGGCTTGAAGAATCCCTGGGCGAATGGGCAGCACCTTAAACAAAAAAATGTGTTGGCACTGTTACTTATTTTAAAGCATTACCTTATTTAAAGAATGAATGACATTCTTCTTCACTCAAAGGGCAAAGAGTCAGTGATGAAGCTAAACTATCTGCATTATGAGACAAAAATAAACTAGCATTATGTAATACAGAAGTACAGCTGGGCATCTAAAATAAATTAATGACGTCCACATTAAATACACAGCTATTTTACAACTGAAATATACAGCACTGCATATTCAAAATTAAGACAGTAGAATATGTTAAAGGAATAATACTAAAGTATCAGACTTACCAGAAATTAAAACAATTCAAAAGGTCTTAATAGAACTTAAACCCCCCAAAATGTAACCCACACTGATTCTAATGCATAAAATTCTTCCACTTCTATATAAATGTTAATAAAATCATTAATGTGCAGACGGGATAAACATTCCACATTCAAACCATTTCTATCATTTTGACTTAATACAGAAAATCAATTTCTATACATCTTTGACCTTAAGGAAGTGTAGCTTAATCTGCTGGCTCAGAATACTCTTCTGGCATTAACATGCACCTCACACATTGAGACGGCAACATTTATTTACTTACCTCTGCAGTTCCTCTTGATTCTTGGTAGGCTATGTTCGCAATACCGCCAATGCTTGTGTTAACAAAAAAATAGCCAGATCCTTCACGGAGGGCAAGCTCTGCCTGCAAAACAATGGTGAAAATCTGTGAATCTGATTTACGAAATTGTTTGGAAAAATGCAAAGGGATTAAAAAGGTGCAAAAGAATATCATACCCGCACATCAGGATGGTTATATATAGTGATGGCTTCAGGACTAACTTGTACATCTTTCACCAGCAAGAGCTCAAGAGTGGCTGATACTGCTGTGAGAGGATCATACTGCAATTAACATGAAACAGGAAAAAGAGAAATCTTTTAATGGACAGCTCAAGGACACATTAGTGTTATTTTTTATCGCATGAAGCAGATACTATAGATCATTTTCTCATTTGCTTTGGCAGGGAGCAAAGATTCTCGGACCTGGATCATTTAAAAATTATTTCACTGGCATTGAAAGAATATTAATAATCATACCGATCGAACCATTGGCATCTGGTATTAGTGAGGTGTAAAAAAAATGTTACCATCACCCCATGATGCACTAACTAAAACAAAACTGAGAAAAAAAGCATTGTTGATTGCTATTTGGTCTTTGGTTGCTGTGGAGACCTATCAGTAGCTGCTAGTTGAAGTGAAGGTTTACAGGGGCCTAAGCTTTTGAAACCCACAATATCCTGACAGCTTGTTTTGGTTATTTCCGTAGGAAATTAGTGCAACGCTCATCTTGCCAGAAAGCAAATTAAGAGGGAAGGAGCCATTTTTACCTCCTTTATAAAAACCAAACATTTCATAACATGCAATTTCATACCAGACTCTGCACCCTGGCCGCACTGAGGTGTGAGGCCTGGTATCCAATGGCGGTTACTGTAATAGCAGTGACCCCAGATTCCCGATGGACAAGCACCGTTTGACGACCTGAAACAAGCAAGGTTTTTACTGTTAAGAAGACAAATAAGATAAAAAGAGGTTTGGCCAAAACACATTTTCTAAGCTACACCTTACAGTCTTTCTTACAATAAAGCCAAACAGAAAATATTTCAACCAGAAAATCAGGACAGCTGAAGTGCAGTTCAATCTCCTATTTGGGTTTCAACTGAAATTAGATTTAAATTGTTTGGTAGTTTCAGAAGTCTTCATACCATGAAGTTTTTTCTGTCCGTTTCCATCTTCCTTAATGTGCTGTTCCATGGGCATGGTTGGTTCTATACTTGCTAAAGAAACCTTTGTTGACTCCCAGATAATACTTAATGAACTGAAGTTGTCAAATTTTCTCCCTTGCTGATCGTAGACCGCCAAATCCAACACAGGATTCCGGTAGTTGGAAACAGGTACCTACAAGAAAGTAAAGACGTATCCCAAACGAGGGGAAAAAAAAACAGGGAATTAGAAAAAAGTGTTTGCTGTATTAACACTGCACTCACCAAATTAAAAACTAAATCTATGGTGATTCTCAAGGTGACGTATTAGGAGACATTTTCCTTACTGAAAATCATTTAGTCTTCATTTAGTATTTTGTCCTGGGTTTTCTAAAAAAGACATTCTTGAATAATATTGTGAGCTGTGTCTTCAGTGCTCATTTACAATGAGCGATGAAGTCACAATTCTTACTGTGGATAATTGAATCATTTGGGGAGAAAAGGGAAAATACAGGCATATACTCAAGTCTTATAAATAGGAACACAGCATCAATGAATATGGCTTGGAGAAGAAACAAAAATTAAAATTTGTCAGTACGTCTTGACACTTAATACAAAGATATAAACTGCTATAAAATAGCTTATTCTCTCTAAAAATTTATAAAAACTAGTAAACTTAATAGTCAGACTCAGCTCTGTCCTACCTTTGAATTAGTTTACCTTATTTAATCTCTCAAAAAAATAATCAATAACATTATTTTGAATCTTTTTGGTGAATCTTTTTGGTGAAAATCAAGAAACGTAGGAATTTATATAGGAATTTAGCCACAAGACAAATTATCCTATGATGAAGACAATTATGATATGGAATCCACAAATTATGCATGTGCATTCTCAGGTGAATAAAGGGCTGTCAGCTGTCCAAGTTAATAATTTCAGAGCTTACAGGGATTTAAACAATAAATTGTCTATGCTGTCTTTGCCAGATATTACCTTGTAGGCGATGCAACAAAATGATACAGTACAGAATAAATGATTTTGCTTTAAAAACAAGAACAGCGCATCATAGACACCACCTCTCCATATACAAAAAATCTAGCTAATGCAAGGCTGGGGTTTTACACAGTGTCCACTTCAGGACAACATTAGCAATCATCTATTATTGTTATTACAGTATATACAGGACCCACTACATTTGGAATTAAAATGTGACTACGTCTCGGCTCACGACAGCCACTGAATTTATTATGCCACCAAGGGAGGACAGACAGGCTTGCCTGAGTCACTGACCTTCTCAAGCTGCAGGCTCCCTGGTGACGGACAAGAGACCCTCACTGACGTCTGCAGGCGCCCCAGGATCTCAAGAGGTTGCCGTTTCACTGGGAGCCGAGAAAGCCCTAGCTAACTACTTTTTTTGGGTATTAAACAGCCTCTGACTGAATATTTATACTGGGAAATATATCGGGTTTCTTTAATTGAGATTTACTCCATTAAAAACATGGTCATCAAAAGCAAAACCGGAATTATTAAAACTTACTTTTCTGCGCTCACGCTTAAACAACCATCAGGAAGACATACTCTTCCTATCCACCACTGTTAATGTTCAACCAGGACGCCTGCTGCCCAACCTAAATACAACTCTTCAGTGCCCACGTCCTCTGCTGGGTCCGCGTCAGACTCACCAGTTGCTTGTTCTGCTGTAGCAACGGACAGGACAAGTCGAGCTGGGGGTTGGTGTAGACGGGAACTAAAGTGAGCCGGGAAGGGGGAGCGCACACGAGCTTCACAACTGCGGGCTCCACTGCAGGAAAGGGGTTCGTCAAACTGGGCTGGTTCCCAACGGTCACGGCGAGGACCTGGTGGGTAAAAACAATGACAAGACAGAGATGTGAATTTTGAGCCCTTTACTCATGAGTGAAGGCACAGCGACCTCTTACAAGCGAGGAACCTAACTACTTATTTTGCAGAGGTAGGGAGCTGCGTCAGCACGCCTAGGCTGGAAAGGAACAGGCAAAGGTTTATTCCATGCTGAGAGACACCTGTGTCACACCTGAAGAAGGCTCCACAGTCGAAACATTGTGTGTCTTTTCTTTTCCTTTCAGCATGGAATAAACCTTTAGCTTCTACTTATTTTATTTTTTCTTCCCAGAAACTGAATAGCAAACAAAGCACATGTAGTTACTTTAGTAAATGAACCAAAGGTTAGTTTGATAAACTGGTGTTATAAGACACAGACCTTTTCGCGACACAAATTTCATTAGGCTTGCCCCTCACCTGTTCGCCGAACGCCCTGCACGTTGCTCTGACCCAGTGCTGGAAGTAGTTCCTCGACGCAGGGCCAAAGAGAGCCAGGCCCACACTCCCTGGGTCTTCAGCTGTGAGGTTCCTGAAAAACTTGGAGGGTTCCAGCACCCAGGGCTTCGGTCCTCCTTCAAAGAGCATGTCTTTAGAGGAGCCAAGTGTGACCAGCGCAACAGACACTGGATCAATTGCCTGAAAAGTTAAATAGAGAACACTCTTCAAGGTGCATGACCTTTCTCTGCTGACTGTCTAAACAGAGAAAGGATGCACTGCAGATTACAAAGCAGTTACCTGAGCAACACAAAAACTCCTACTTTACTCTATATTACACTACATGTATTTAAAACACTTTGCATTTCTATTTCCAAACATGATTAAGAGACGATTACAATTTGTACTTCATGTATTTCATTTTCACTACCATCAAGAACATTTGTATTTTGTCATGAGTTTTCTAAAAGAGACATTCTTGTACAATATTGTGAACTGCGCCTTCAGCGCTCATTTATAATGAGCAATGAAGTCACAATGCTTACTGTGGATAATTCATTCATTTGGGGAGAAAAGGGGAAAACACAGGCATGTTAAGTAGGTTCAAATGAAAGGGCATCCTTTTCCAATTGCAGTAGTTGCAGCTAATTAAACTGTAGCTCATCAATTCCTTTACACTCTAATTGAATTTTTTCTTTCCACACATTGCTTAATACAGTGGTAGGAGACAAGACACATAATTGATCCCTGTGGGATAATGTTTAGCTTCAAAGTACCGATCCTGACTTCTTGTTAAAAAAATAAATACAAAGCAATGGGACAGAGTGTGAAAGGGAAAAAAAAAACATCAAAAGAGGTTCTGAAAAAAAGATTCTTGTGCGTGTAGATGTGATGTACTTACTTTAAGAGGTTGATAGGCCGCAATGGTAATTCTAGCACTTAAGTGAAGGTGGCCATGCGTGTAACTGACCAGCAGCACTGTGTCACCAGTTGCCAAAGCCTGTACTCTCACTCCACTGCAGTAATCCTGGCCTGGTTTCAACCTCCCTGCAGAGGAAGAGGGAAATGATAATCAGAGCATATCAAAGTGAAGGATCCCAAACATTTCTTAAGGAACATCCAGCTAAATATTTGTTTGCTAAGTAAAATCCTGCAGAGTACTTTCAGTGTTTGGAAATGGTGCAATTGTCCACCTGCTTTCATTTACTTTAAGATCTTTAAACAACTCATGAACTTAATATACGTGGAGTAAAGACCAAATACAATAAATGTAAAGCTTACAGCATTAATTTAGTTAAGATAAGGACAATCTATTTCATTTATCTGGGAAGGACAAATGTGAAAATAAAGATCCCTGTATATAGGTATGAACATTCCTAAAATGATTGAGATGTATGCAAGACAACATGAACAGCATATCCCTTTAGAAAGATGATAAATACAGTCTGCCATGGAAAACAAAATGGAGGATTAGAAGGATTTTTTTTAAGTTACAACAATGCTTTCTTACCTTCCAGGAACTTGAAGATACCTTTGTTCTCCACTTCTACAACCAGATCAAAATGGGAGCAGTCACTGAGTGTTACCTTCTCCCCCGTCTCCACGCTGAGAAGCCCAAATATCCTGAGAGGCAGATCCAGGGTTTGACCCACACGAGCCTCAACTTGACACGGAATAAAATCCATTCCCACTGGTTCTATCACATAGACCTTTAAAAAAAAGGAAAGCAGAAAATGTTTAGGAAAACTGCACAATACAGTCACAAATACATGCAGTGCATAACCCAAACCAAAAACCCAAAGTGCAATTATTGTTGAACGGCCTCTTAAAAATTTGGTTAAATTGTAAATCTCTCTATTCACAAAGTGGAAATAATATTTGGTTTAGCATATGTTTTGTTGATGGCTTTAAAGAAGCACACCTTTAAGTCATGTTTTATTCTTAGGTTCAGAACACTGTTGATCTGGCCTTTATTGATATGAGCATTTTGAGATGGCAGTATTTCATTGTATCCAGCTTTTTGTCATTCAGATTTAAGTAGTCTCCAAGGTCCCTGCTAAACTTTCACTTTACAACTAGAGACTACAACTTTAAAACCAATATTAATAGTAATAAAAAGGTTAATAAAGTGTTTTGACAATATGGAGAAATGCCATGTGAAGTATTGACGATTTTACAGTTTTAAAACAACTTTGCTCAAGCATGCAGGAAACTTGCTCTTAAGAGCAGACAAAGTCAGCATTCTGGACCCAATTATGCAGTCCACAGTTTAGGCCTGTGGTAGAAAATGAGTATGCTTGCTATCAATCCTGTCACTCACAGTTAATGTCTCACTACATCTGTGCTGTGTTTTCCCACTTACTAAAACAAATTCAATTTGCCACCACAGTTAGTATAGCATTCTTTCTTAGCTATTCCAAGGGTCAAATAAAACTGAATTTATTATGTCTGGGCAATCCAGTTGCAAACTTAACAATTTAATATTAAATCTTAAACAAACCACCTCCATAATCAGGTATTGAAATGTGAGAATATGAATTACTATAATAATCCATAAATGAAATCTTACTTAAAACAAGATTCACAGTAATTATTATACTGATCAGTTTTAATGAAATATTTTCACATACATTTTGCATTAGGTAATTGCTTCTCTCTGCAGCAGAACAGATGGATCATGGCATTTTCACAAAACAGGCAGTAATTGAAAACTTTCTCTAGATAATAAAAAATACTTTTAACCATCTGTAAAACAGCCACAGGACACACAATTTGACCATATGGTGCTGCATCAGGGTTACAGTCCAAGAAAAAAAAACTATTATTTTAAACAATTTTTTTTAACTTATAAAAACACCCTTGCTAAAAACAGACAAAACAGAGTTTTTAGAGAAAAGCTTCCTGTTGCAAAAATGATTCAATGTAAGGATGTTTCAATACATTTTTTATTAGAATTTTGGAAATCTTTTCTCTTTTCATTTTCTAGCAAGGAACTATGATACCAGCAAGGGGTCAATGTGTCCGACTGAGGTAAATCCCAAAAGTTCTCTTTCTCCAACACTGACACGTGGCTGAGTCCAGGTTACTAAGCCCACTCATTAACCGTTAGAATGAACTGTCCAGGACATTCCCATCCTTGGATTTACTTCCCTTAACAGAAAAAAAAACCTGAGCTCATCTCCTATCATCCTTGGTCATCCTTGAATGTTCCTCGGCCAGCAATGAAAACTGAACTTTCCTGAAAAGGCAGAAGTCCAGGAATAATAATAGACTGCAAGTTACTTTGTGTTCCTGTCTGTAGCCAATCCTGTCTCTGCGTGCATGTTTCTTTTGATTTAACGAAGGACTTTCAAAAATGGTAACAAGGCTATTTCCTCAAATTTTCCAGTACACAGAAGACCCTAACATCCAACACGTAGCACTGCTGTAGCTCTCGGACATTTCATACTTTCCTGGAGTAAAACAAATCCAAAATTCATCCATATAGAATATTACACAGACTGGAAAACATTTGTTTTAGGTGATAGGCACCAGCACCCACAGACACAACCCAGTAACAAGCTGCCCTATGAATGCCATTGAAGCACTGGGCTTCTTCCAAGACACAACTTTATGAGACTTCTAGATCATTAAAGCTAGAAGCCCCATCACAGGATTTTTTTTTTTTTACTTCTTTGTATCGAATGCACTAGTATAACTCCAAGAATTCATGCGCTACAAACACAAGAGCAGTTACCAATGAGGGGAGGTGGCCCATCCAGCCCATTTGGTAGTTTGTAGCTAGCTGAGCCAATTGTCTCATCCAGTTGTTTCATGATGGAGGCCAAGGGATCAGCTTCAACAAGTGTGTTTCCCTTATTCCATACTCCAACAGGGGTAAGTCCCTTGCAGGCTGACAAGGTGGTTCCAATGGCCTCCTTGCACTTGTAACTTGTTATTAAAAGGATTAAACGGAAGGCACCTATGGAATATGCACAGGACTCACCTTCATCTTTCCATAATGTAGAGGATTCTGTACATCATGTGCCTGAACAACACTGACTCCCACATCGCTGACAGTCGTCATAACTCCTTTGACAGTCACTGTTGCAACGTCTTGGTTGGATGAGGACCAGGTAAAATTTCCACTCCCTCCATCTGCCTTTTGCACACGGGATTAAAACAGAACACAAAAGATGTCACTACAATAATGTGTTCTGCTACAAACAGCATATAGAGACAGATGGATGTAAAAGCAGTACTGTTCTTGTGCAGCAAAGCAAGACCATAGGATGACAAGAATATACTACATAATATAAACCACATACAGTAAGGACGTAATAAAGGGAGCAGTGCTGCTTATCATTATTAATTCAGAGTTATAGAACCAGCCCTTCAAGGAGAGAACACATTAAATACTTCCAATGCAGAGTGTAGGGTGTTCAAACATTTCCCCATTTTTACTTAATACTGTTAATTTTACCCCTTTTTTAATTGCAGTGAGGGAAAAAGATCTGCTTTTACAAAAGACTGAAACAAAAAAATTGTGAATGCCTCCCAACAAATAACAAAAGTTGAATTTTAGATTTTGAATATGAAATGTAAAGGATTCAGCAGTCTGCACTGGAGATATTTACGAAATCGCACACTTTCCTGTCCTATTCCTTTTGTTTTGCATTTAAAAAGACTGTAAATCTGATCGAATGGCTTACAGCCATGTCCTGTGTTGTTGAAAAAGGATTAAGACAGAGACAATACATATACAATAGAACTCATCTTAGTGGAGGATTTGTTTATAGCAGTTTATAGATTAAAACTTCACTGTCACTCAAACAGGGGATGTTTGTTATTCTCATGTCAGTCAGTAAATATCCAGTGTTACTTTATTTTTACAGTCTCCTGCCCTAAAGCACATTAAGTGATAATCCTAAATCTTTCTGCAACATTTATTTCTTCAATTTTAGGATATACAGCCTGAGAGCCCTCCTATAATGGCTTCCAAACACTTTGTAAATCATAGCTGTGGCATAACTCATTATAAAAGAGTATTTATTTTTGCTCATTTATGATGCTGTGCATCATGTAATCTAGCCACCTGGGTAATCTTACAAATGATATCAATGCATTCATAAGACCCAGAAGACTTTAATTGCATTAACGTCGACATTTAATAAATACCTTTATTGTGTACTGGTACGCTCCTATTTTGGGTTGCCATGGGAATGTTAAAATTCTTGGAGTAAGAACTATGGGATTATAAATTTCGACATCCTGTTGGTTACGGACTGGAATGGAAAAAACATGAACACCACCATCCTGAAAGAGAAAATCAGTCATGTTATTGAAACAAATACAAGAAACATTCTGGTTTAACTCTCAATGCCTTATTTTTTCCCCCCAGTATACAGAGACTAAAAGAGTCATTTAAAAACACTGGCAATAAGGACATCTCAAAATAATGTTCTACTTATTTACCATATCAAAACGTTCTAATTGGACATTCAACCACTTTAATAAACACAAGTTTATTGAACAACATATGGTTTTAAATTTCTTTAAATATGTAGTATGATTTTGAATGAGCCTTTAATGAAAAATGACTTGAGCAGGCCTAAGGCTCCTGGCGGCTCCTTTATTTCATTACTACAATGGTCCACAATGATTGCAGGTTGACTCACCTGATCCACAACAGATGTAAGTGCAGCATCTATTACAGTTTGGCCATTTTGCAAAGCCTTCACATGATGATATGAACCATTGAAGGAGGACTCTAATATCTTAAAATACGCCTTTGGAAAGACTGCCTCAATCCGGATGTTCTAAAAACAATGAGATCAATCAAATGTGTGGGTCTTACCGCAAAAGATTATTTACAGCCCAATGAAAAAAAAAGTTTAAAATTCCAATTTAGATATTCCAAGCACTCATAGAAAGAAATAATTGTGTTTCCTGAACAATACTATAAAGAGTTTCCGTTTTGAGGTTCCTTGACGAATAGGATAATACAGCTAGAACTAACAACAGGGTCTTCTTCAACTGTATCTGTGAAGCTGTGAATAATTTAAGAACTATACACCCATTGCCTGACAAATTTGAAAAAATTAACCTTTAAATACAACTGCAAAAACCTTTAACTCTGCACGTTAGAGGCAATAAACAGCACATTTGGACCACAAATAGATTTTGTAGCTCCTTATAGTTACAAACCAGATTCTCTCCAATTCCATCTAGAATGTCACTGACTTAAATTTTTCTTTCTTTTTAAAATCTAGAGCTGTTTACCTTTTTTGTACTGAAAAATAAAGATCACGGTACTGTGTTTAGTGTCAATTTTGGAGGAAAATGATGCCACTAAATTGTTACTGGCATGTTTCAGTTTGGAAAAAATAGTTGTTTTTAAAAACTGCTTATCTTCAAATCAGAGATCCACAACTCCAGTCACAGGACTCCCAAATTCTGCATGTTTTACAGATCAACAAGTCATCACCACTATAAGAGCTGGGTGAGAGCTGTTAAGCTGCTCAAATTGAGCCAATGATTAGTTTGACAGGATCATCAAGAGCCAAGCTGGAATGAAAGGTTGTTGACAAAACAGCACCTCTTGCACTGTAGCTGGGCACCCCTGTTATGAATAAAAAGCAACTCACATCTGACAAATGGACCTTATTGCTTGATTTGTCAAATACTTCAATGAGAATTTCATACGTTCTTCCTGTTTCAAGGACCCATCTGTCTCCTGGATGGATTTTAAACCCTGTTAAAAGTTAAAAAAACAAAGCCAAATCACTGATAATGCATGAAGAAACACTTCGGTAAATTAGAAGGGCATTCAGCCTACCTTACTCTTTCATTGCTATTTAAATGGTGATCCCTATAGCAATTATCAGCTAAAATCCCAAATCATTAAAAGAAACTATTATTGAAGGGATGGTCTGATCAAATGATTAGCACTTAGGTCAATATCATTAAAACTGAGCTCAAAGGCAAACAACAAAGTAAAACCTTCACAGAGTATTCTTTAATGCACTTCCAAAACTGTCAGCGAGTGATTTTAGTTTAACTGTTGGAAAATAGTGCCAGCTCAATTTAACATGGAGCTCTGTAACAGCAGCATCAAAACCGCATTACTGCATTCAAGCTGCAACCCAGAAAACTGAATTTGAGAGTTTTCACCAGATATCAGCCCATCTGAGAAAGAAAAATAAAACATTGTTCAAATATTTAGAAGATTATTTGAAAATGTATTGATTTGAATTGAGTTTTTTATATTTTTGAAAACACTACTCACAGTAGGACCACCTGGGAAATAGTCCACATTCGCACGGATGCCCTGAAGGTACATAAATGTTTATAACAGGCTATTGAAAGCCCCTCTAAATCTAAAAGAAATCAGTTACGAACCTAAATATCCTGGCTCCACAACATACAACGTGCTGTTTGGCAATCTAGATGCTCCCTGCATACGAAGACCTGTTCAAACCCTCCGTCAAGGACAAATTCAAATGAGATGGAAGAAAAAGAAAATGCCATATGGTTCATATTTTCAGCTGGATTCTTTTAAAATTAAAATGTCAACTCTAATTTCAATGCACTGTATGGCACCCCCATCCCCGAAACTACAAATTTCTGGAACCAAAGTTTTATGCTTTTAAAATTACTATGATTCACTGCCAGCTCACTGCTCACAGTTAAACTTGTTGATGGATGCTGCTGTCAACTTTAATAAAAATGTTAGTCGATGTTGTAAAGTTTTAAATATCATCAGCACTGCCACCGATTCTGCAGGATTCAGAGATTCTATAAGCATGCAGGATCTGACAGGGAAGCACAAGGTGGGAAGTCATTTAAAAAGAAAGGCAGCGACCACTGTCTGAAGGATACTCTTGTGGTCAAGAACTATGTTGGTCTGTCCACGCTGGAGCGCTGTTACAGTCGATGTTGCTCTGTCCAGTTTGGCCACAGGTATCCTCACATCTCCATCTGGTCCTAAGATGCTGTTCTGCAGCTGCAGTTCATACTGATCACATGGCATCACTAACTCTGTCAAGAAGATGACAACCACACAGTAAGAAAAGGCTGTTGTATTTCCCCAGAAAAAAAAATTCAGAGTAAATTGGTCGTGAACAATTGATCTCCCAACAATGCAAGACCATTAAAACTGCAACCAACTGATGATACTAAATCCAATTAACCATGACAAAGTGCATTAAGACGAAATACACCTATATAGGTTACAATAAAGTACAATTTCCATAGCTGTAGACCGTCAAAATTATTTAAAATAAGTAAAATCTGTGAATCAAAACAAACCACTTACATCTTCAAAAATTTCATAAAAGTTTTATTGGGAAAGTCTTTTTTGCTACAGATTCTTGACACTCATTATACATGTTAACCTGCAGAGATAAAAGGATCTTATCTCCTAATTAAGGATTAATCCTTAGCTTCATTTAACCAGTATCATAAAGATACAAAAAGCAGCAAACTGACCTGTAATCTTTCCCTGACGAATCTTCTGTACCCTATATTGAATAGAAGTACCCACAAGTAAGTAAATATCGTATGCCGGGTTCAAAAGTATGTTTTCTAGGATTAAGAGTCTGACTTCTGCAGCTGGCACATTCTGTAAGAGAAATATGTATCGCAAGTAAAAATGGGTACATTTTCTTACTTGAAGAGTAATGAGCAGTGAACAATGAGCAGTGTATTGCAGCATTCTGTAGTTCTACAGAATTTCACTGTAAATCGAATATAGTACCTAAACAGTGACATGCTACTTCAAACTTATATTAACATCAAAGGTAACAGAAGCTGAGCTCAGTCATTCCCTTTTACTGTGCATGAAAGGCATTCATGATCCAGAACAAAATGCCATTTAAGTCTTCAGTTCTTCGGCATCACAGACCTAGCAGGTGAGGTGCCAGAACTATTTTGCAGTTGATGTAAGTGTTTTTGTTACCATCATGGTTTCTGGAGAATCCTGCCTAGAAATTAGAAATACGATTAGGCAGGGTAGCAGTCTGCTACCTTAACCACCCAGACAGCCACATCTTTATCTACACGAAATAGCAAAGCTACATGAAATAGCAAACATCAGGGTACATTATGGTGTTTGACGTGCTGAAAAGGGTTATAACAGCTAAAACAAAGAAAAGCAGATGTGATGAGTAAGCATTTGAAGCACCAAACTATACGGGTCAAGGGACAAAAGTGAAGGCTCTCAATTCCTGGGGTACCTCTTAAAGTGTGTCAATCTAACCATGTCATTGTAACAACCTTGCAGAAGATCTTAATGCAAAAGACAAAAGCCCCCAGATTTATAGGTCCTTATCTAACATTCATTAAGAATTGAAAACAGATTAAAGTATGGTCCTCATATTCAAATTGTCCCCTGGGGGATTTATGACTGAGTGACAATTTTGCATGCAGATGCTACAGTACATCAATTATATTGTACATTGTATCACGCAGCAAAACAATTATGTGGATTTTATGATGACATACACCACACACCCCAATGACATACCTTGTACAATGACTCCTGTATTTTCGCTTTTATTTTGGAATTTCCAGTTTTTATTCCCGACACCAAAATAATATCTCCTTGCTTGCCCACTTTCTCCATCTCTGAAATGTAGGCTGGGGGAGTATATGTAGATTCTGAGAACTTGAGTACCCTAGGAAAATAAATGAATGTATAATAAAGTTTACTTTTTAAACCTTAGAATACCTCTTTAAAATAAAATACTGGCATAAGAGATTAGGTGTCGGTTAAAGTACAGTATGGACTTCAGGAATCTTTAGGAATGGCACTACCATCAGATATAATGTAGAATACTTTTTTATGAATGAAGTTACAGATGAAGAGACTCTGCAAACAGTTTTTCTCATTTCCCCCAAACACATTAGAAAGTTCAGTTGATACACACGGTCAGCGGTTTTTTGTCACACATTACAGTTTTCAACATTAATTTTTTCTGAGGCCAAATGAATTCGGTTATAAATCTGAAGCACCTATTTGTGCAATCCTTGCAAATTTCAAGCATTAGAATTCCAAGGATAGATGCATTCTATTAGCTAAGTGGGTACAGACACTGTTGTACAACATGTATCATGCAAAAAGGAGATGCTCAATTGCATCTTGTTTGTCAAGTTTGTGGTTGGTCTGCTTATATTTTTAAAGTAAAACAACTTTCAATAAATCTTGTGCAGACATCACTTGAATAAGTATTACTGTTGCATTTCTAAAATGTCCCAATATATAACAAATTAAGTTTTTAAAAATGAACAATCATGTCTGCTTTAAAATTTTTGCAATTGAACTGCTTATCAAATAATCAATATTTATTGCAAAAATCCAATTTTAAAACAAAGAAACATACCTAGAACACAGACCGTCATGAAATGTCATTGAATGACACGTGGGTCATGGACAGTTAAAGTCAATGAACACTTTAGACTTTTTTTATAGTTTATGTTTTCTGGATAACTGTTCTGGAGCACCAGGAGCAATAAGTTGACTTAATAAATTACAGAGTTTGTGGGACTCACCGTAATGCATTATAGGAATCTGAGAAGCTAGCAGTGTCTGCATCTTTCACTATGGACCAGTCAAAAACCAGCCCTGCCAATGTACTGAAAGTATTTCCTGAAAAAACATACAAGAACAACAGTATTTTCAATTTTTTGTAGTCAGTGATCAGGAAAAACAAATGCAGAACTACAATAGCTAAATGTGCTTAGTCACAGAAACATTATGCTGCTCTATGTATTAGCAACACAAATGCAATGTCATTTTGCAATAAAAAAACTGTTCCACATCTGAACTTATTTATTCGGCATTTAACTGCCAAAAATGTGTTTTTAATAGATTTGGACTTCCAAGTGTAATTTATTTCCATGCATTCTTTACTAGCTTAACTGGTTTGGTGAACGTCCAATATAAACCATGAGCCAATACATAACTAAACACAGAACCACATGGTTATTATCGAATTACGCAAACAAGTGATTCTGGATATTATCTTAGGGTCTGGAAGCTCTAAAATACTTAAGATTAAAACAACAAATGGATTAACCAAAAAGCCACAGGTAGTTTTTACTATATGAATAAGGGATTCTTCTTGCCTTCAGCTATGGTTTCTTAAAGTCAGTCAAAGGCTGAAAATATCCTGTAATGCATTCTACATTTTATGATGCATTTCCTATTCTACACTTCAAATACTGAACACAGAACCCAACAGTAAATATATTCAAGTATTGTCAAGACCTGTTAAGCAGCATCAAAGGCACTACATAAAAGTTAAATCCTAATTAGTATAAAATGACAAAATAAGGGAGCTCAAAACTGTATTAAGTGTTTTAACCAAGATCCTCAGACTCTGACTAATGAACTTTGGGTTAACATGCTCATATTTTCACCTTCACATTTTAAAATACGTAGTACTTGGAAAGGGCAAGGATTAGATTCTATTCAGAAAATACAATCAACTTTGTTTTCTTTAAGCAGTAGATACTGACCTTCAGAGTCCAGTGCATGAATCCTCAGTTCTAAGGGAGAATCTTCCAAGTGTAGTTCCCGAGTGGTTGAGACAATCTGAATTTCACTAATAACATCCACAATAGCGTCACAGCGTAGGACTTGACCAGTCACTTAAAGATGGAAGGAGTAAAACGTTATTATTAAAAGTTTACCTACTTTGATACTGCAGATCTGCTGTTTGCACAGGGTTTTGTGTCATGGTGTGACAAACAGCAGATGGCCTGAAGGTATATGCCCGGCAAAACACAAGGCAATTCTGCCTCATCTGTGCTAATAAGAGGGTGGCCGTGGTGAGTAGAGGCGATTAAATACAGTCCTATTCAACTTGGTGGGAGTACAAAAATTACATACATTTGAATAAAATAAGAGTGATTGTGAGTGGAAATTTGTATGCTCTTCCCATGTTCACACAGGATTCCCCTGGGGGCTCCTATTTCCTCTGTCAGTCCAAAGACATACTGCCAAGTTAACCGTCTTCAGTAAAACTGGTCCATAGGGATGCATACAGAATTAACATGCATTTGCTTTATTTTTTTTTCCCCCCAATCGGCACCATCAGAACACTCACTTTTTTTGCTTGCTAGCCATTTGCTTGCTAACCACCCAAACAATAACATGTGGCAGCACGGGGTCGCGCAGGCTGATGGTGTCATCAATGTTAGACGTTACAACTAAACGCCGGGGCGCGAAAATAAGATACATTACTTTACAGTAAGACAATTAAGGGGACAGCCGTCGGAAGTGTGAGTGGTCGTAAGTCGAGGACTGCCTGTACACTGGAATCTTAGCATTTAATTCACCCTTAACTTACAAACATCCTCCGCAATAATAATACTGGTGAGTCTGGTAAGCTGGGAGGAGCGTGCCTGCAGGATGGCTCTTTGGGAACACTGGCGTTCATCGAGATCAACAGCATCAATACTGGCTACCTCCGGTCTGGTGGAAGACCTGCATGAAGAACATCTAAATCACGACCAAGCACAAACAAAGCTGGCCGAAAGCAGGTCAGCTCTGAAGTGCCCTGTAGGATCCTTACTGCAAAATTCAAGGTGAATTCTTAGCCGAAGAATAGACTCAACTTGTTATTGTTAATGCATTTGTGCAACTGGTACTTTAATGTGTCATTGCAGACATCAGAGGCATGGGCATGTATCCCTGGAGTATCATCTTAAATTAATTGACCTAATTTACCTAGAAAAAGAACCATCTTCCCAAAAAACCTGCCTAGCTGCTGCAGCAAAAATGAATGCAGATTAGCCATTATTAATGCAGCTTTCAATTTAAAATCATCCATACCCAGTGCTGGATGGAACGGCATTTTAATTACCTGTGACGCCAAGACTGAGTTTAAATGAATTAGACTGCAAATTGAACATGAAAAGAAAGTGATTACGGTAGCTTTTTGCAAATCAGATTAGAAAGGTAGCTCTTCAAACGGTGATGACCGGCTCTTGTTTATAGAGGCTGTTCACAAGTCATTTTCGGTTAAACAGCCGTGAGACCATAACAAACAGAAATTAAAATCAATGATTGAGGGGCTCAGAGCCACCAACATTTGTCCAATATGCATGATTCTGAAAGCTTTGACTAATAAAGCTAGTTGTTTATGCAAAAATATCTGATTAAATGGTAAAAGCAGAGCAAAGCATAAAGACATATGGTGAAATACAGCACAGACTACAAGAAAATTGCAATTGTAATCAGAAATTTATTGAAAATAGTAATTCGAGTTTGCCATATAACCACATGCACCAAATATGACAAAATGACCTAAACTCGTCGACCTATAAAATACGTTCATCTTGATGTTTGGGCATATACAGGATGAACTCAAAATGGAAAAGCAGGAAATATTATTAACTTACTCCAAAAAAGTGAAACACACAACAGAGGACGCAAGACGAAACTCTGTGGAAATGCATTTAAAACTCGGAACAGGATGCACTTCTTTATGCAAAGCATTGTGGGAGTACGGAACAAGCTACCCATCCACAACAGTGAAGACAATATTCTGGCTTCTTTCAAGGAAAAAAGCTGGAAGATATCCGTGCAGCAATTAGCTACTAACTAGCAAATGGTCTAGTTGGGCCAAATGGCCTGCGCTCATACAAATGTTCACATAAGGCATTTTGTTAAAACTACAACCTTAAGACATGACAACTATCAAGTTCAAAATTTGTGGGTCAATTTGAAAATCAATGTATAGGAACAATGTGCTTTTAGTAATGCAAATGACAGAAACTGCAAGAATCCCAATAAATCTTAAAGGAAACCTGAAAATGCTCTTTGTTGCTTAATGTACCCTCTGGGTTTTAATACAGTCTGCGTCAAAGAAATAACAAAACTCATCCCTTTCTTCCCCAAAGAGAAGGTTTCTCTAATGTGCTTTCTTGAAAAACTTATCGACTGTAAATTTGGTACATTAACTGCTTTATGTCCCACAAATTAAATTTGTGACTTAGAATGATTTCCATAATTGCCTCAGCCTTTTCTTTTACCAGATGTACGTCATTTGCAGACATAATCTGGAACTCTGTCTTCCCTGTGCAGCTAGCCAATTTCAATTTATAAATTGGGTCTTTGCAGAGTGTAAGAATATGGAAGTTAATCTGTGTGTTGCCAATAAGGAAAAATGATTTTAGGATCTACAGTAGGTTGCTGTAAATTATATGACTGTCATAAGGTAGCTACAAATGCAGCAAAAAAAAAAGACATCAGTAGCTCATAAATGCTGCAGGCATAATGTTTAAAACCAGTGCTGTTCTCCTTAAAAAATGTCTTGAAGACTTTATCAGACAAACACGCTGTTGTCAGCCTGGGTTCATTCAGGTTTGCTGCACCACATGTGCTGTGAAACATTATCAGCTTGGATTTAATTAACTTCTGTATCAATTGGAGCATATCCATACAGCACAGGCATACTCTCCAGGAAACAACAAAAGCGCCTCTCGCAGATGCTTATACATTTAAAACCTCACTCTGCCACACAAACTGTCTCAATTCAAATACAACTGAAGGACAACATTTTTTCACTCTAATTTTTACTAAAAGGTTAAGGACAACACTCAGCAGTCTGTGGAGGTGTGGTGCTCACCTTATATATATTGCAAGTCTATTAATAAACTACAGTAAACAGAATGACATTAAAACTTAATGGTTTCATAAGTGCAAGTCTATACAGCTAAATATGACAAAAGAGACAGCTGAGCAGTAGTAGGGGAGGGCAGTAATGGAAATATTATCATTAAATTAGAGTGTACACTGAATGACTGCTTTCGACCTTGGTTTATCTGTATTGTCTGTAGCTCAAAGAAAGGCGCCTATGGTACTTAAATAAAACCTTGTCACAAAAAAAGCCCATTAAAAAGTTGATTCAAGAATATTACCGCACCTGGAAATGAATATGACTTAATTTAATTTCAACCGGCATTTTTCAGGGTACTTTTTCTAGAAAATGTCTTAAACCTTTACATTACTTGCTGTTGACCATAAATAGCAGTGAACACCAGTCTCTGCCTGGGTTCATACAGTAACGTCCCACGTGTTTCCTGTCCCCAAAGAACAGCTTTAGACTTCATTTTCGATTTTCTTTTCAAAAATTCAAACTTACCATCTGTAACATCCTTCAGTTGCTTCCAAGGTAAAATTTATTTTGGTGCTTCTGGCTAAAGGCAACAAGACCTTTGGGATATTCAATTTAGAGGCACTCGAACAAAATATCGGATCATAAAATAAAACCATTAACACAATCAATGAAAGTACCGTTGCACTCGCCATTTCCTTTTTTTTTTCTAAAGTGCTTTTTTGCTTTAAATAAAAGCACAACGTTAACGGACCACGCGGCGCGATATGATCTTTATACATAAAAAGAAGTTTAAAAGCTAAACTATATAAAAAAACCCACAAATCAAAGTACCCAATTCCAAAATCTAGTTCGAGGCCATTGCCCTATACTTTATGTTAAATTCATGGTGCTGTCCTGTGCAAAATACTGCACATGTTCCACGATTACAGAAAAGGTGAGCTAAGCGCACAAAGTTCTTTCAAGCGCGTAATCCCTTTTTAAAGATACAAGTCCAGTTCAATAGGCTACAAACTTTCAATATAGAGAAACAGCATGGAGAGCTACTGCATGACTCAGTTGGTGTCCGTTTCAGGTGTTTCAATGTGCATGCACCCACACACAGGAAATGCAGCGAGATTTATCTTCCTATCTTCTAAAGAAATGTCCACCCGACGCTAGTGCATACACAAAAAGGTATTTTAAATAACTGCATTATTAATTTTTAAACATATAACATAAGAAACACCCGCCATTCGCAGCTATTCGAGCAACGTCATGAACGACGGCAGACGGCGGTCGTTTTACACGCAAGAGGGAGGAGGAAAGGTCGTGTTACAAGAAACTGCGCCTTAAAGGTGCAGGAGGCTTTGGATCCTTGCGCACTAATGACATTATTTTCGCATTTCTGTTCTGTTCAGTGTACTGTTTCCATTCCAATACGGGACTGAAGTGAACCCGTCGAATTCGCGACATCCGCCTTTGAATTCAATTTGGAAGACGAGAGCCCCGTGAAGTTCACCAAGCAATTTGCCGCTATCTGGTTTCCACCGGAGCTACCCAATTAAATCCAGTTCTCCTTGTCCTTAGATGTTAGTTTGTGCTCTCCGTTTTTTGCCCACCCCACAATCTGTCACATTGTCTTTAAAGACCCTGCAGGTCTCCCATACTGTTACCCTGTACAGATAATTAGGCTTAAGACTGTATGTTGGAATGTGCGTAATTCTCCGCTAAAATCCATTACTGGACAAGCCCGGTTAAAATTAGATATAAATGTAGATATTGAACCTTCGGGGATTGTTTTCAGATTAACCCATGGAGTTGCGTCTTGTGTAAAATTATTCTAAGGTTGCAAGTTTCCTTCAGAAAGAAATAGCCTGCCCTTTGAAAAACGTCGAATACACGGCCTGTAGGGAGCATTTCGCTCTATTTATTCGTTTGTTTAGATATTTTCAATCTAGATCTAAAACGTGCACGTTTTACCTGGTACATACTACAGATACTGACTGTTAGATACTGATCTTGAAGAAACAGCCAGTGAAAATGATTTTTTTATGCCTTGTCGTTGTCCTCTCTACACAATCAGTGGAACCAGCCATCCTGGGTTGTCATTTTTCTCCCTCCTTCCCTCTGGTAAGCGTTATAGGGGCATAAAGACACGAATCTCCAGATTACTGAACTCTACCCCTACAGTACCATTGGCTCACACTGTTTTTTTTAAGTGGTATGGGCATTTCACTTGTTGGTGCTGCTGCTGTTCTGTGTTTGTGTTTTTTGGTGTTTCCTTTATGTCTTTCTTTCATTGCACTTGTGCATCTGACAAAAACTGAACTGAACGAATTATTAAGGACCACTGCTAAATATAAGTCCATAGATGTAACGATTAAATTATGGACATTAAATTAAGTAATTTAGAATATTGTGTACAATTGTGATCGGTACGTTACAAAACTGATATTGCTGGTGTGGAAAGAGCTCTGAAAAGCACAACTACATTAATTGGTGGTATTAAAGGCGTATTATAGTCAGGTTGAAAAACCATAATTTTCCAGTTCTTACTCTTGAGCAAAAGAGGTTGTATTGAAAACACCCCTGACAATATATATTTTTTCAATTAACATCTCCAACATCATTAGTGAAAAAATAATAATTTTAACTTCAAATTAAGAGTAAGGACTTTGCCCGTGGATAGGAATCTCTACATTGCACATAGGGTAGTGGGTGTCTGGAATAAATTATTGGTGAAGATGATACTTTTGGGATCATTCGGGAAAAGGCTGGATGAAGAGCTATTTAAATGTTTTTATATTCTGTGTGGGAACATTCAGGTATTAATAATATAAGTATTTACAAGAGGCATCATGAACAACCAAATATGTAATCGCTTGCTCTTTATCTCGCTTATAAATTATTGTATTGCATAAGAAACTTCACTTACTGTTTTATTCGGAATCATCATAAATGATCTCTTTGCACAAATTACGCGACTCGGTACTCAGGCGTTATATAATTCAAGGACTATATGATCGTGACAAAAAAAGACATTCTGCCTTTGAAGTAATGGAACACAAAAACACTACAGTGGCATGAGCTTTATTACTGCATTACCTGAAATATAACTCTTTACAAACCCCAGGTTGTGTTACTAATTTTTAGTAA